ACAAACTAAGGAGAAAACCAAGCCCAGAGAGAAGCACAAGGCTAGCTGCCACAGGATATCCTTGTGCCCATGGATGGAGGTCACCCTCCCCCCAACCTCTAACCACCACCAAAGGCTGGCCTCCAGCTAGCAGGAGGCAGAACCCAGACGAGCAGCTGGTCTTCATTAACTCCAGCTTTTTCACCCCCCACTGTGAACCCACAGCTTCTACAGGCCTAGGCTAGAGGGGGCTGCCCTAGCCCGACCTTGCAGCTGACTCTGGGATGGGGGGCATCGCAGCACAGGCTATGTTACCAGCTGAAAAGAAAATCGAAGCAAGACTCTCTTTTTCCCATTGGGATCCAGAGGAGAGAAAGGAGTGTGGGGGTGAGAGGGTGGAGGTGGGGGAATTTAGGGCAAACAGCAGGCAGTGAAGTCAGCTGGATTGAGGCCCAGAAACCCCCACACCCTGGGGCCAAGTCTTACTCTAGCTTTGCTTTCAGCTTCTTGGCGAGGCCCCAAACTAGGAAAGGCCCTGGCTGCCCTTCTGCCTCCCTACCCCCACCCTTATTAAATACACATTTTATCTCTCAGCATCTTCATTATCTTAACTGAAGGAGACAAGCAGTGGATGGCGGCAGCAGAGAGCGTCAGGAGAGGGGGGGCAGTGCGGGGAGCAGGCGCACCCTTGTTATAAAGTGCTGATCTAGCTCTTTCAGGCAGTGTGGGAAACAGAGGAGGGATCAAAGGGAGTGAGGCTGATTCAGAACTCAATTAGAGCTTTTTAAAAAACGGAGTTGGCTCTTTCCTTTTGCCAGTCTTCAGCCTTTACCCATGCCCCTTGCACCCAATTAGCTTCTACAGCCAGTGCCTTGGGGCTGGGGTTGAAAAATCAAGGGGAAGCCAGAGGGCACAGCTTCTCCCCTACAGAACGCACCTCTGAGAAGAGGAAGACCTGCACTGTTCCGGGCTTAAGAGGATTACGTCTTAGAGGGCACCTTGTTTGTACAGGAGGGATCTGAGATCACAGCTTTCCCCAAAAGTTAAAAAGCGAGACATCAAAGGTGAGTTCTTCCCTAATCCCTTACCAACTGGAGGCAGTTTTGGGCCAATCTCTAGGGACTAGGTGCTATCCAAACAGGTACCCCCCTTCCCGACCAATGGGCAAGACTCTCCCCATAGTTTCTCATGAGCAACATGGAAGTTGCTTCAAGCACAATAACCACTACATTAGGAGTGACTGGAACACATCTGGGCAGCCAGTAAATGCCCCACAACTCTGCCCTGACACATGTTGGAAGAGGGAGCACCCTCTTTGGCAGGAGCCTGTTCCATCTCAATGTAAACGTACCAACAATGTCTCCCTCCAGCTCAGACTGTCCTCTGATACAAGGAAAGGCAGTATCTTACCTGGCTCATTTATCTGCTCATTCAACAGTCTCTGAATATCTACCTGTTGCAGTATACTAAGTGCTGGGGACAGATAAAAATACACACAGGAGGGGCTGTCATATAGTGGGTAAAGTTGCTGCCTGTACAACGCCGACATCCCACATAGGTGCCAGTTCCTGTACTGGCTGCTCCACTTCTGATCCACTACCCTGCTGGCCTGGGAAAAGCAGCAGAAGATGGCGCAAGTCCCTGGGCCCCTGCACCCAGGTAGGAGACTCAGGCTCAGCCCTGGCTGTTGCAGCCATCCAGGGAATGAACCAGCAGATGGAAGATATCTGACTCTGAAATACATAAATCTTAAATAAATAAATAAAGAGGTGAGTAATGTGATACAGCAGGTTAAGACACTGCTTGGGACGCCTACATTCCATGAGCACCAGTTTGAGTCCTGGCAACTTGGCTTCTGAACAACTCCCTGCTAATGTGCCTGGGAAGAAGCAGGTGATGGCCCAAGTACTTACTTGAGTTCCTGCTACCCCTGTGGGAGACCCAGATGGAGATTCTGGCTCCTGGTATCAGTCTGGCCCAGCCCTGACTGTTGGAGGGCATTTTGGGGAGGGAACATGGATGGACTATCTCTATGTGTTTCTCTCCCTTTCAAATATATAAGGCAAAAAAATTTAAATATAACCTCAATCTTGGCTCTTTTGTTCTCCCTCAGTAGTTAAGGTAACGCCTCTCAACAGATTTTTTTTTTGACATGCAGAGTGGACAGTGAGAGAGAAAGAGAGAAAGGTCTTCCTTTGCTGTTGGTTCACCCTCCAATGGCCGCTGCGCTGCGGCTGGTGTACCGTGCTGATCCGAAGGCAGGAGCCAGGTGCTTCTCCTGGTCTCCCATGGGGTGCAGGGCCCAAGCACTTGGGCCATCCTCCACTGCACGCCCAGGCCACAGCAGAGAGCTGGCCTGGAAGAGGGCCAACCGGGACAGAATCCGGCGCCCCGACCGGGATTAGAACCCGGTGTGCCAGCACTGCAAGGCGGAGGATTAGCCTATTGAGCCGCGGAGCTGGCCTCAATAGATTTTTTAAAGATTTACTTATTTGGGCCAGCATGGTGGCACAGCAGGTTAAAGCCCTGGCCTGAAGTGCTGGCATCCCATATGGGTGCCAGTTCTAGTCCCAGCTGCTCCACTTCCAATCCAGCTCTCTTGCTACGGCCTGGGAAAGCAGAAGATGGCCCAAGTCCTTGGGCCCCTGCACCCAAATGGGAGACCTAGAAAAAGCTCCTGGCTCCTAACTTGGGATTGGTTCAGCTCCAGCCATTACAGCCATTTGGGGAGTGAACCAGCGGATGGAAGACCTCTCTATCTGTCTCTACCTCTCTCTAACTCTTTCAAATAGGTAAACCTTAAACAAGATTTATTTATTTAGTTGAGAGAGAGAGGTCTTCCATCCTCTGGTTCACCCCCCAAATGGCCACAACAGCAGGACCTGGGCCGATCTTTTTGGGTCTCTCATGCAGTGCCTTCCCAGGCCATAACAGAGAGGTGGATCAGAAGAGAAGCAGCCAGGACTCCAGCCGGGGCCCAAACGGGATGCCGGCACCGCAGGCGGCAGCTGAACCTGCTACACCACAGCACCAGCCCCTCAACAGATATTTTCTAAAACAGGACCCAAGTCATTTCTCATTCCTCCTTCCAGTTCTGTTATATCTTGAAATGGACATGTAACAAAGGTAGGAAGCAGTGGGGGAAATAAGGTTCTGGCAACTTTTTTGATCTCTGGGTGGGTGGGTTAGCCCTCACACACTCTTGCAGTTAGCTAGCCAGAGGCCATCTTATTGAGCCAGAAGCAGTGGCAGCTCTGAGGTTGAAACTCACACCAACTTTATTGCACCTATGCACCTTCCACAGCAATGCCCAACATTCTATCAAAGCTTGGTTTGCTCATCCAAGGAAAAAACAAAAAGATAAACCGAGACAGGCACACACCCCACCACCTTTAAAAGAATGTAGGTCAGCATCTTTGCCACTACTCTACGGGAAGCATCCTGTGACCCTGGCAAAGAACTAGAGATGGTAAGCTGAGCCCCTCCCACCAGAACTCCCACTACCTTCCTGTAGCGCTCAGCCTCAGTGAGGAGAGCCAGTCAGGAAAGGACTTTTCCTCCCTGCTTTCCTGGCTGTCTGAACTACACTTAAGACTTTACTGACAAGCATATATCAGCTTTTGCTCCCACAAGGGCAGCGGAAGCCAAGCAGGGACTCTAAGTCTGCTTCACGCGCCATTGACAGAACCAACCCTGTTCCAATTGCTAAAGTCTTAAGAGCAGCAATGACCTAGAAATTGACAGTGGGGAGAGAACTAAAGGAAGGGAAACTAACAAACCGGCATACAGAAAACCCTATTTCCAAATACCAGGGGAAAGGGAGAGAAGGGAGGCAGAGGGGAAAGAAATTTGCCTCTTTGAATCCGTAAATGTGATCTTGGCTGAAAGCCAGAGAGGATACATAGCAGCCCCACTGCGAGTCAAGCCATGTTCCGGACTCAGGCCGTACAGTTAAGAGGAAGGCGCCAAGCCTCAAACACAACGAGGTGGGGAGGCCGCTCCTTTTTGGGCAGGATCCTACTGTGGACACAGAACAGACAGCAGCTGCCCACAGTGTGGAAACAAACTGTAAAGCAGTCACGTCTCTTAAGGCTGCAGCATCCAATAAAATGTAATTTAAATCAAGCCTCGCATCTGTTCTCAATCCCATTCAGTCTCTGCTTTCCATCAGCCTTCGGACAATCTTTGCAATTATCCTTGTTAACTCTTATAGCCCCAGACACTTTCCAACCTTCGAGGTATAGAACTGTGTTTCCCACATGCAAATTACCCCCAGAGGAAATGTGAATGCTGTAATAAAGGGGTGTGAGGGAAGAACGATATTCAGACTCAGGTCCACTGAATGTCTTCTGCTGCACACTCCAATGGGCAGTGTTCATTTCAGAGGGCTCTCCGCTTGCCCTTCTATCCCATACCACCTGCTGTAGCTCAGATCACATTACAAGGATACAGCGGGGAGAATGAATGAAACAGTGGCCAACTTATCATTGGTAACATATCAAGTTTCCAAACTCAAGGCCATGTCAGAAGGCACAAGGAGACAGCAGAACTCAAGGATGAGCAGAGACTCGATAGTGCCTCTTTAGACGATTCGCATCACATGGTTTAAATTTCAAGTTTTTGCATGAGCTATAAAAACACAATCTCCCAAACAAATCAAACTTTTAGGTATCTTCCCCTCCTTCCCTCAAAACCACCCCAGCCCCAAGCCCACACTTTGTCAGTGTTATAATGGTGCCCTCTGGTGTCCCTATTAAACATTGCCATTTAATGCCACTAGAAACCAAACCCAGAAGAGAACTTGTGACTATCCACATGGATTAATTTATCTAATGAGGCTGGGAAAATATGTGTTCAGATGAAAATCCAACCCCAGACTAAGGCATCTTGAAACAAAGGTTTCATCTGAGAGTAACTAAGACTGTGGGACAGTTTGGGAAGGAATTTTCATATTGCCATCTGGAAGCTTGAGCTCTCTCGAAATGTGATTGCTTAAAAAGACTAAGACTACAACTTGAAAATAAATAAAATAAAATAAATATATTCACAATTTGCAGAGTTACATTCTCCTTACCAGTCCCTCAAGCTTCGGAGTACCCAAGAAACACAATGAGTCTTTAAAATGTCACAATGTGGTAGAATCCGCAACATGAACACAGTATACCCCCAAAAAAATTCTTTGTCAAAGTGTCCTCCAAATCACCATGTGGTCTTGCTTTCAGGATCATTCCTTTCCATTCTTCTTACCCTAACTTCAAAGTTCTTAACGTAATATATCAATGTTTGAAGAAAGTAATAGGTAAGTGTATATGCATTCCACCATACAAATCTGCATACCTGCAAATACAAGTGGTTAGAGGCACACAAGTGGTAGAGGGTACTGGATGTAATTGAAAAGGGTCTACGTGGTCATTTTTATGGGTGAAAATAAGATCCAAACATATTATTCTGTGCTAATATTCATGAGTCTATAGGTTAAAATTCATTGGTTTCAAGTATAAAAGGTCATATTTGTTTTCAGACCTGAGTGTATAAAGTACTAAAACGAAGACTCCTTCGCTAAATGCCAGCTGAATATTGCCCGATGTGCAGTAAGTGAACAATTTAAGGCAATCCAGTAGCTAAGATATTTCCCATTAAAGCTTTGTCTTTCAGAGCATGCTCTATTTCCTTCTCTTCAATCTTCAAAGACACCTGGAAAAAGAAAAGCATGATTCATGATGGAGAACTCACAGAACCAAAGTTGTTACACAAACTTCTACCACAAAAAACTTCTCACAAGAGGCAACTGAGACAAGCACTATCTCATTTGTCCCTTACACACCTAAAATCCTATCAAACAAAAAAGCAAACGATCTAATTGTGCTCATTTTAAAATCCTTATTTTAGCAAAGGATAAGCTCTCTAGAACAAGACAAGTGAAAGCATTATTACAAAGAAGCAGTTGGTTGTACCTTTGTGAAACGGGTTTCCTTATTTTTCTTTAATCCTAAAATGCCTCTGGCCTCCAAGAGCCCTGAAAGTGACAGACACTCTGACTGATCCACAGCTGCCACCTGCTGTTTGCGACAGACGTTACTGTAAGCTTCATACAACTGGAAGGAAACACAGGAGAACATAGGTTGCTTAAAAAAAAATCTCTTTTTTAAAATTTATTATAATCTACTTTTTTTAAAAAAAATTTTTATTGACAGGCAGAGTTAGACAGTGAGAGAGACAGAGAGAAAGGTCTTCCTTTCCATTGGTTCATCCCCGAAATGGCCGCTATGGCCAGCACGTTGCGCCAATCTGAAGCCAGGAGCCAGGTGCTTCCTCCTGGTCTCCCATGTGGGTGCAGGGCCCAAGCACTTGGGCCATCCTCCACTGCATTCCCGGGCCACAGCAGAGAGCTGGACTGGAAGAGGGGCAACCGGGACAGAATCTGGTGCCCCAACTGGGACTAGAACCTGGGGTGCCGGCGCCGCAAGGCGGAGGATTAGCCTAGTGAGCCACAGCGCCAGCCAGATTAATGGCTATTAAAGGCCAGCTGTGCAGCCAGCGCTGTGGAGCAGTAGGATAAAGCCCCAACCTTGAGCCTTCAGCCTTCAAGCACCATATCATATGGCACCAGTTCTAGTTCTGGCTGTTCCTCTTCCAATCCAGCTCTCTGCTACGGCCTAGAGAAGCAGTAGAAGATGGCCCAAGTCCTTGGGCCCCTGCACCACATGGGAGACCTGGAGGAGGCTCCTGGCTCCGGACTTTTGATCAGCTTAGCTCCGGCCATTACAGCCATTTGGGGAGTAAACCAAAGATGGAAGACTTTTGTCTCTACCTCCCTCTGTAACTCTTTCAAATAAAAATAAATCTTTAAATACCAGTATTTATTCTTACTATTAAAATCGATTTTTAATTCCTATCAGCTGGAGCATGATAGGACTTTGGGAAAACATCTGCTCTGCAGAGAAGATTCTCATCTCAATGTCAGCTCCAGTGGCAGATTCCCAACTTACCTTTCCCAGAGTGACCTCTTTGATTTTCAGCTGCCTGGTCAGGAGCAGCAGAGAGCACACCAAAATCTTCTGCTGAAGAGGGAAGGAGTCTTGTGCTCCTTCTCGGCTCAAAGTCATCCTATTACCATCAACTTCTGAAATGACTTGGGATATGTGAGTAAGACCAACTCTCTTGGGAACCGGAGACTCAGAGGATGATTTACCTATAAAGGAAATGAATTAAGCTTAATTTGACTTTTAAAATATTATGTGCTTGTGTGTTGAGACAGGTGATACTAAATTTTAGCTAAAGGAAATCCAAGTGCAGTCATGTGGTGGCAAAGCTGAGGTTCTAACTAGATGCCAACCAACGAGAGACAATGCTCTCCTTAGCAAGATGCCAAAATAATGTGGGATGACTTGGTATGTAGGGTTATCCTTTCTCTGGGTAGAAGAGTGAGCTATTTTGTCCTGTGGAATGTAATTTTGTCAAGGAGACAAAATCCACCTCATGAAAGAGGAAGGATCAGACAGAGAACCACTGTATTCTACCATGAAAGTTTCTAATGCCTCAGAGGTAAAAAGGGAACCCTTGGAGCAAAGATGATGACTGTGCCTGGTAATTAAGGAAGAAAAATAGCTGGAAATTCTTTCTTCCAAAATACTGAGTATTTTGAAGCAAATGTGTGGATAAATGTGGACAGTAAAAATCCCACATCAGTCCTCCAGATGGCCTCCCCAAGTGACTTTTGAGGTTTAGTTCACTTGCCCAAGCTGATCCGCAGCACAGCAACACTTGAGAAAATGTCATTGGATATCCTAGCAGATAGCACCATCTCTAAAGCCAGAGGTTGGGAAACTGCCAATGAGCTGCACAGGACTATGGCCTCATTGTTTGGAGATGCATAAATTGCAAGACAGAGGAGGGATTTGCTCTCAAACAACCTTTGCCCAAAGTTACTTCCTGAGACCATTTGCAGTTGCCCCACAGTAATCTGCTTCTATTTCATGACGACAAACGGAATGCTGCAGAGGACTGATAGAGAAACCAGAGATCACAGATCAAGTAACAGATTTTACAAATTGAAAGTAATGTTAAGGTCTATTCTTACTTCCTATCTAATAGCTGAGTGTCCTCTAAAACAATCCCAACACGTGATCATTGATGCAGTTTTCCTCTGATTATCTTTAAGGCTATGAGTCTACTATGTTAAGAAGCCTAGTTGGTCCTATCAGAAAATTTCTTCTTATACTTAGTTGAAGTCAGTCTCCCTATAGCTTTCTGAAGCCATTAAAAGTCAATCTCACATACCAGAAGAAAAGAATTAATATAATACTTTATGGCAGGAACTTACGACATCCCTATATATCTTTTTAGCATTGTGATGTTTTCAAAAAGTATACATTATTTGGAAAGTGGGGAGTGTGGGTATGGATATCAATTTTCCATCCACTAGTTTACTTCCCAAATGGCCACAACAGCCAGCTCTACGCTAGGCCGAAGCCAGTAGCCAGGAACTCCATCCTGGTCTTCTACATGGTTGGCAGGGGCCCATCTTCTGCTGCCTTCCCAGCTGCATTAGCAGGAAGCTGGACTAGAAACAGAGTATCTGGGACTTGAAGGGCACTCCTATAGGGAATGCCAGCATAGCAGGTGATAGCTTAGCATGGTGCACTACAACCTCTTTAAGTTATGTGTGTGCCAGCGGTGCTCATGGGGGGCACTGAGAAGCCTAAATGTTATCAGTAGAGGAAAGGAGAAAGGGGAATCATCTGAGAAGCTGAAGAGAAATCAGTACCTCAGTATATGTATTGCCTACCCTTAGCCTTAGCACTGATTCTGGCCACTTCTGAAATATTTTGTTTTCAATAGAGCCTAGGCTACTTTACTAGAGACCAGGTTTATCACAGGCAATAAAAATAGCTCTTTACTTCATTTATACAACATATGAGATTTTCAGCCTAGATAGAGGGAATAACAGATCCTCTTGGCTCCAAATGAGTTTCAAGTATCTTCTACCACAAGATTACTTCCTATAATCTATAGCTCTTATTTACTTAGATTAACAAACTGATTAAACTTGTGACCAAGGGCAGGGATTTGGCCTAGGGTTAAGACACTCACATCTCCTATAAGGATGCCTGGGTTCAAGTTCCAGCTCTATTCCCGATTCCAGTTCCCCACTAATGTGTACCCTCGGAGGCAACAGGTGATGGCTCAAATGGATGGGTCCCTGCAACCCATGTGGGAGACCTGGACTGAGTTCCTAGTTCACAACTTCAACCACTGCATGCATCTGAGGAATGAACTGGTAGAAGGGAGTCTTCTCTGGGCCTCTCAAATAATTAAAAACAAAACAAAAAACTAATCTCTAGACTATTGCAGGTATGAAGAAATTAAACTATCCTTTTTTCTATAAGATTAACATTGGATATTAAACACTAACAACACACGTAGTTCATGGCCATCTAAGACAACAAAGCTGAGGGAAAGGAAAACTAATTTTATCATTTGTGGGAGCCTGCAGTTTACTGGAGCACTATGACCACTATACCTCCACCCTCCTAGATTTTTTTTTAAGATTTATTTATTTATTTTAAAGTCAGAGTTACACAGAGAGAGCAGGAGAGGCAGAGAGAGAGAGAGAGGTCTTCTGTCCGCTGGTTCACTCCCCAATTGGCAGCAATGGCCAGAGATGTGCTGATCTGAAGCCGGGAGCCAGGAGCTTCTTCTGGGTCTCCCATGTGGGTACACGGGCCCAAAGATTTGGGCCATCTTGTACTGTTTTCCCATAGGCCACAGCAGAGAGCTGGATCAGAAGTGGAACAGCTGGGACTCGAACCAGCGTCCATATGGGATGGTGGCACTGCAGGCAGTGGCTTTACCTGCTATGCCACAGTGCCGGCCCCCCTAGACTTGTTTTAAGGCTGAAGATACCCCAAGTTGAACTCACAATTCTTTTGCCCAATGCTCCCTTATCAGTTTGCTTTCACCTACATTGAGACCTAAAGTGTCCTCAACAAAACACCCATCGAATAGCTGATTTGACTTTACGGTTTTCATTCCTAGAGCTTGGAAAGAAAACACCCTGCAGCCCAGCCATTTATGTAATGCCCTGGGGAACTCATTTTCCAGTAATGCATGGACCATGGTACTGACAGGCAAGATTGCAATAAAATAGATGAAAGTGACTAAAAACAGACACATACCCCAAAATGGGTGAGTGTGGATTTAACTATGTTCATTTCATCTTTCTACCTCTTTTCTCAGAAAAGTTAAGCTCCAAATAATAAAGGAAAACAGAAAGGAGATAAACTACTTACATTCAGATAGTGGTTTCAGGATAGTCTGGCTTTTAATATCCGACTCTACGATTTCAATAGCTCTTCTATAAAAATATTTAAAACATTAATTTAGTTAGTCAAAGCAAACACACCAAGCCATCAAGCTCAAAAGTAGGCACACTAAGAAGATATTTTATAATTTTAAAGCCTCCAAACAAAACTGAATCATGCCTCAACTAATGAGGACTTAATAACCTTGAAATAATTCATAGGCCAGGGCTATGAGGAACTTTTAACACTATATGGTTTCCTTGGAGATGCCAAGTAGGCCATCATACATTGAGCCAACACTAACGTTTTGGATGAAGAGAAAATATCATGGGTAGGAGAGAAGATATGTGGTGGGAGTAATTGATTAAAGAGAACCAGTACCATCCACACACACTAGACCTAAAAGGGAAGTCCTGAGTTTACACATATAGAGTTCCTGTGTAGGCTGAACCCTGCCAGCTACATGACTGTTACTCATAGCAGCAGTCTTCACCGAGCAGTGTGCTGACTAGGGAAAATTTTCAAATTCAGGATCATGCAATCCAGCAATAGGAAGAGCTTGCTCTCCCACTGCTCTCTCCAAAGCACTTTGCCCACAGGAAGCTATAAGCCAGACCTGGATCCTCTGCAAGGCAGTGGGGGAAGCTGGACCAGCGGGCCAGCACAGCAAGTATCATTTTAATGGACCCAGTGTCCCTACTGAGAAGGAAGAAATTCCATCAGTCAGCAGAGGCTTCCCCAGCAGGAGGGCAGGGGGATGGGAAGGGAGAAAGAGGTCTGGAGTACAACTGTGGGGGATCACCAACTGGAGGGAAGGGGCGCTCACAAAAGGAAAGGAAGGGGAAAGAAGTCTAAAGGCAAAGATGGTTCAGGTCCATAAATAAACCTGCTTGAGACCAGCTAATGGAAAAGTAAACTGGAGTCTTTTTTAATACAAATGTAATTAACCAATCTATAATCACCACAGGGAGTGCCAGCAACATCTCATTTGTTTCTCCCTCTGTAGGTAATGGACTGATAATGTTTCAGACATTAACACGGTGGAAATCCAGAGCTCCCCACTGAGAAACAAGTCCTCCTTTCTGAGCGTAAAAAGTAGCAGAATGGAGCCTCTTAAGCCACATTCACTTGAGTTACACAAGACAATTAACAGTGTTTCCTTTTTTTTTAATAAAAGCTGCCGACGGCGCCATAACTCACCTGCACACATCTAGCGCTTTGCGAACATCTCCTGAAACAGCAGAGACTTTGCGGGCACAGAACTGAATGGCAGCACTGTCCACAACCTGATCTCTAGACGCCTTAGGACAAGACATAGAAGACAACAATTTGAAGTTTAAGTTCCTCTCTCTGCAACATAGGTCTCACACATAAATATTTTCATATTTAAGTCTAAACTTGACTGGCCACCCTTTAAAATCAAAGAGATACCTTTTCTGCTTGTAAATAAATGGACATGATTAAGTTCTTGCACATCTAAGCATTTTGTAAGAATGTATTGGAGGTTCATAAATGGGAAAAAAGCAATTGGAACTGGCAAAAAATAAATCTATAGTCACTTGCAAAAGCTTTTTTCAAAGGCCCTATTTTTAAAAGACCATTAAGGAAGCACCTGAGTGATTCCTCTGCCCTTTTTTTTTTTTTTAAAAAAAGATTTGTTATTTATTGATTTGAAAGGCAGAGTTACAAAGAGACAGGGAGAGACAGAGAGAGGTCTCCCATCCACTTGTTCACTTCCCAAATGGCTAAAACTACTAGAGCTGGGCTGGTTCAAAGCTAGGAGTAAGGAGCATCATTTGGGTGTTCCACATTTAGTGCAGGGCTCCCAAGCACTTAGGCTGACCTTTGCTGCTTTCTCAAGCACATTGGCTGGGAGCTGGGTCAGAAGTGGAGCAGCTGGGACTCAAACCAGTGCCCATATTAGGCTGCTGGCATCCCAGGAGGTGGCTTTACTTTACCACAATGCCAGCCCCTACCTGCTACTTTTAATTCAACATTGAGGCATCCAATAAATGGAACCATGTGTGGAAATTCCCATAAAAAATGTCCTATGGTCCATAGGAATTCCTGTTCCATTAGCAAAGCAAAATATTCTAACTATTGTTAGGCGTCTGCAACAAAGGTGATTCAAGAAACCCAAAATTTGGCACAATGGTTGGTACTCACCTGATTAAGTCGATCCTGCAAGATAGTGGCTATTTGATTTCTGGTATAAGGTGGGAAGTTCAACAGCTGAGGCTTACAATTTTCTCTAGCTTGAAGCCTAGGCAGAATTCTGTCTGTGAGGTCCAGGGTATTAGCAATACCTGAGAAGATAAATAACATTAATCACCATTGGTCAGATCATCCTAAAAATAAAGCCAAACCCTCTGAAAGATAAATCGAATTTCCAGTTATAATCCAGCATTCCAAATGTTACTTCCCACCGGCTCCCCAACCCACCGTCATTAAAAAAATATACCTATTGGGTAAGATGTACTTAGTCATCAAAGAATGTCCTTTTCAAAATCAGGCTTCAAATTTTTCATTGATGAGCAGGACAAAATACTCCAAAAATCCACTGTCCCTAAAATGTCATTTCTATTCAGACTTAGCAAAATTGATTTAACAGATTAGGGGCTGGTGCTGTAGCATAGAAGGTTAAGCCTTTGCCTGCAGTGCAAGCATCCCATATGGGCATCGTTTCACATCCTAGCTACTTCATTTCTGATCCAGCTCCTTGCTAATGTGTCTGGGAAAGCAGCGGAAGATGACCCCTGCATCCACATGGGAGACCCAGAAGCTCCTGGCTTCAGCCTGGCCCAGCCCCAGCCATTGCGGCCATTTGGGGCATGAACCAGTGTACAGAAGATCTCTCCCCTTCTCTCTGTATCCCTGCCTTTCAACTACATAAATAAATCTTTAAAAAAGAAAGAAAGAAAGAAAGAAAACCAACAGATTAAAATGACTATAATTATTTTTAGTCATTTTCTTATTTTGACAAGGCAGAAAGCTGATTTAAGATCAAATAATAGGTGAAAAATGAGCTGAATATGTTAAATACTTCATTTTTTTAATTATTATTATTATTTTTTTATTTGGCAGGAGCCAGGTACTTCTCCTGGTCTCCCATGGGGTGCAGGGCCCAAGTACTTGGGCCATCCTCCACTGTACTCCCTGGCCACAGCAGAGAGCTGGCCTGGAAGAGGGGCAACAGGGACAGAATCCGGCGCCTTGACCGGGACTAGAACCCGGTGTGCCGGTGCCGCAAGGCGGAGGATTAGCCTACTGAGCCGCAACACCGGCCACTTCATTTATTTTTAAAATTTTAATTTTTAACTAGTTTTTAACAGATTCAATATGGTTTATAGATACAAATACTTTAAAGATTTATTTATTTATTTGAAATTTAGAGTTACACAGAGAGAGGAGATGCAGAGAGAGAGTCATCCATCCATTGAGTCACTCCCCAAATGGCCACAACAGCTGGAGCTGTGCCGATCTGGAAGCCAGGAGCCAGGAGTTTCTTCCAGATCTCCCATGAGGGTGCAGGGGCCCAAGGACTCAGGCCATCTTCTACTGCTTTTCCAGGCCATAGCAGAGAGCTGGATTGGAAGGGGAGCAGCCGGGACTTGAACCAGCGCCCATATGGGATGCTGGCACTACAGGCAGCAGCTCTACCTACTACGCAACAGCAAACAGCCCCAATAGATACAACACTAAGAACATAATGATATTCCCTTCCTCCCTCCCAGGAAGAACACTTTAGAACCACCTTGTTTGTTTTTGACAGGCAGAGTTAGACAGTGAGAGAGACAGAGAGAAAGGTCTTCCTTCCGTTGGTTCATCCCCGAAATGGCCGCTATGGCCGGCACGCTGCGCCAATCTGAAGCCAGGAGCCAGGTGCTTCCTCCTGGTCTCCCATGCGGGTGCAGGGCCCAAGCACTTGGGTCACCATCCACTGCCTTCCCAGGCCACAGCAGAGAGCTGGACTGGAAGAGGAGCAACCGGGACAGAATCCAGCACCCTGACTGGGACTGGAACCTGGGATGCCAGCACCGCAGGCGGAGGATTTGCCTAGTGAGCCGGAGCACTGGCCTAGAACCACCTTGTAACATCAACAACTGAGCACTGGGACAGGCACTTGGTGCAGCACTTAGGATGACTTCATCCCAAATAGGAGTTCCTGGGTTTGAGTCCCTGCTGTTTCCAATTTCAGCTTCCTCTCACCCTGGGAGGCAGCAAGTGATAGTTCAAGTACTTGGGTCCCTGACACAAACAGGATACCCGGATCAAGTTCCCAGCTACCAGCTTCAACCTGGCCCAGCCTTGGCATTTGGGGAGTAAATCAGAACACAGACAAACTCTGTCTGCCTCTCTGCCTTTCAAATAAAATGTAAAAAAAAAAATGTATGTATGTATACACACACACACACACACACACAAATAAAAATAATAGAGAAACTGAGCACTAACCAATCAGCACCAATCGAGAACTGCTCAGCCATGGCCATTCAAACAGTGTGTACAACACATCCTGTCCTTTGCTGTCCAGCTGATCCATCTCGTCCAGCACTAACAAACTACAGAGAAAAACAATCACTGTCATTATTCATCTTCTTTTTTAAAATGTTTGTTGACTTTTCATTTACTTGAAAGGCAGGGTGACAGAGAAAGGGTGAGACACAGAGAGAAAGGGAGATCTTCCATCTACTTGTTCAATCCTCACATGGCTACAATGGCTGGGGCTGGACCAGGCCAAAGCCAGGAGCCAGAAACTCCATCCTGGTCTCTGAAATGGGTGACAGGTGATGTAGCCAAGACTCAATGTCACATTCCAAACAGTGGCTTACTCTGCTGCACAATTCAGACCACTATTTACCTTATTAACTCTCCAATCTGTTTGATCCAAGCTGACATTAGGTTATATTCCTAAAGCTGTAGACTAGTTTGAAAGTCTTAATCTGTCCTCTCTACTCTGTTACAGTACTTTCCGTATGAACAAGTTAACAGTTATTTTTTTTTGTTTGTTTTTTTTTTTAAGATTTATTTTTTACTTTATTTGAAAGGAAGAGTTACAGAGAAAGAGAGATTTTCCATCTGCTGGTTCATTTCCCAAATGGCTGCAACAGCTGGGGCCGGGCCAGGCCAAAGCCAGGAACCAGGAGCCTCATCTGGGTCTCCCCTGGGGGTACAGAGGCCCACAGATTTGTGGGCCATCTTCTGCTGCTTTTGCAGGTGCATTAGCAGGAAGCTGGATCAGAAGGGGAGCAGTCAGGATCCAAACTGGTGCTCACAGAGAATGCCAGTGTTGCAGGCAGTGGCTCAACCCACTGCACCTCAAAGCTGGCTCCTATTCAGGTATTTTTTTAAAGCAATTAATCAAAAAACATTTTTTTCCAATTTAAAATTAGAAGGTGGAGAAGAGGAGGAATGTTGATTAACAGTATTAAGTTATAGTTAAATAGGATTAAGAAAAGTTCTGGTGGGACAGGCACTGTAATGAAGCAGGTTAAGCTGCCTCTAGGGATGCTGACATCCTATATTGGAGTACTGGTTCAAGTCCTGGCTACTCTGCTTCTGATCCAGCTCCCTGCTAATGCCCTGGAAGAAGCAAATGATGGATCAAGTACTTGAGCTGCTGCCAATCATGTGGCAGACCAGGATGGACATACTGGTTCCTGACTTTAGCCTGGTCCAGCCTTAGCTGTTATAGGTATTTGGAGGGTAGACAAGTGTATAGAAGTTCTCTATCACTTTCAAATAAAAAAAAAATTTAGCATTCAACTGCACAGCAGAATGACTATAGGTAACAATAATGTACTGTATGTTTCAACCAAAAATGCTAGAAATGGAGCCAGCACTGTGGCATAGTGGCTAGAGACACTGCCTGCAGTGCTGGCATCCCATATGGGCCCCAGTTCGAGTCCCAGCTGCTCCACTTCTGATCCAGCTCTCTGCTATGGTCTGGGAAAGCAGCAGAAGATGGCCCAAGTCTCTGGGATCCTGCACCCATGTGGGAGACTTAGAAGAAGCTCCAGGTTCCTTGCTTCGGAATGGCTCAGCTCTGGCCAAGCTGGCCATTTGGGGAGTGAACCAGCAGATGGAAGACCCCTCTCTCTGTGTCTCCCTCTGCAATTTCCAATTCCCCCTTTCAAATAAATGAATCTTAAAAAAATAAATAAATAAAAGCTAGAAGGGTGGGTGTTATGGTACAAGAGGCTAAGCCACCAGTTGGGATACCTGCAACCCATAATCGGAGTGCTAGTTCTGAGTCCTGGCTACTCTGTTTTCATTCCAGCTTCCTGTTGATGCATCCTGGGAGGCAGATGATGGCTCAAGTGCTTGGCCCTCTGCCACCCATATGGAAAGCTGGATGGAACTGTAGGTTCTCTGGCTTCCGCCTGGCCCAGACCTGTATGTTACAGCCACTTGGGGAGTGACCCAGCAGAATGAAGATCTGTCACTCTGCCTTACAAATAAATAACTAAATCTTCTAAAAAAATGAGGTTAGGTAAAAATAATAATAAAACAAAAGCTACAAAAAGTTTTAAATGTTTTCATCATAAAGAAATAAATGTTTGAAGTATGTTCAGCTTGATTCAGTCTTCAATGTATAATGTATTAAGTCATATGGTATCCCATAAATGTGTAATTTTTATGTTCATTAATGCTAAATTAAGAAGTAAAACATTCTGTCTGTGGGCATCAGATCTTGCAGGTTTTCACACAGCAGCATGCATCAGAGCAGTACTTACATCATGGGGCCCTTCTCTGCAGTCAGATGTCTTTCCAGTTTCCTCATCATCTCCTTCCCAGCTGGCCTGGACACTTCTTCCTGACAAATCTCCTGAGCAATAGCTGGGAACACAGCCTGGGCACTCCTCAAGGACATGCAATTCAGCATGATAGTTTTAAAGCCTTTCAGTTCCTTCTACGAAAAAAAAAAAAAAAAAAAAAAGCAAACGTGGGAGTGGGAGTTATTTTGGTCTCAAAGATCTGATGGAACTAGAAAAGTCTTTGAGGAGCTAACAGTTTATAAAAGAGAAAGCCTTACTTTCGTTTGATAAAATTTTGACAGTAGAACTAAAATTGTCTTATTTTGAGGAAACCATACATTTCCTAAACCTTTACTCTTTTTTAACTCTTAAAGACGGACTATCATTTTAGCAAGAGCATCAAAATTCAATCTGCAAGGTACCTTGAGGTCTTGCAGGATTCGGCTTAAGCAGGCAGTTTTTCCAGTTCCAGGAGCACCAGAGAGGTAAAGACTTCCCGATTTTCTCCCACAGATGTGCTCCCTCAGGAAATTCCTGATGACATCCATCTCCTTCTCCCTGGCAGGCAGCCGATCCGGGACAGCTGTATTCAGGACAAGCTTCGCTTGCTGGTAGCAAGTACCTGTGCCAGATGAAAAAAGGGCAATTAGTCAACAGAAGGTGACCCCCGGGTTTTATTCAGTCATCAGTTTTGTTTACAACTGCTGCCTTGTGAGCACAAACCTTCTTGCTTGAACAGTCTCATGCATACAGATTCTTTCTCCGATGGACATCTCTGCTCAGAATTTGTTGTACTCTCTTGACCTTTTTGAGACGAGGAAAGTATTTTGTTTTGGGGAACTCTGGCTTGTTCTTTTTTGCTAGGAGACTTAACTGTCAACGAATTTTCAAATATTAATCTGCGTCCCTTAGGTGTATGTGAGCGAGGGGGGCCGTTCTCTTTCTTGCCTTGCTTTGGTGGTGAACAGGGAGGTAACTGCGGAGTGTTGCATAGGTTGTCATCACCTGAAACACATTAAAATCACAATGTAGTCGTTCATAGCAGTGGAGAGTGAAAGGACTTGCAAAGACCTCTGCCTTCCACAGAAAGACATAAATTTCTACCTCAGTCAGAAATACCAAAAATAATAAGGCCGTCTCATGTAGAAGCAAATATTGTCCACCAGATGGTACCACTGAACCTTACTATTTGATAGAAACCAAATCAGTTTTCAAGACAGTTCCAAAACAGTTTCTTAACCTTAGCACCACTGACATCTCAGACCAAATAATTCTCTGCTGTAGTGCATTGTGGAATGTTTAGCAGCACCCCTGGTTTTTATCCACTGTGCCAGTAGCATCTCTTCAGCTGGAACAAATAAAAATGTCTCCAGATATAGCTATATCACCCCCTCTTAGTTAAGACAAAAAAAAGTGCTCTAAGACAAGAAAGGATTATCAACTACTAACACAAGAAAAGGACAGAAAATATTAAGAACATCATGTCCTTGTTTTTCATACTTCTACCAAGATTGATCAAGCTTCTTTTTTTTAAAATTTATTTACTTATTTGAAAGAGTTACAGAGGAGTTACACACACATACACACACACACAGGTCTTCTATTAGCTGGTTCACTCCCCAGATGGCTGCAACGCCTGGAGCTGCATCGATCCAAAGCCAGGAGCCAGGAGCTTCTTCTGCACCTCCCATGAAGGTGCAGGGGCCCAAGCACTTGGGCCATCTTCCACTGCTTTCCCAGGCCATAGCAGAGAGCTGGGTCAGAAGTGGAACAGCTGGGACTCGAACCAGCGCCCACATAGAATGCCAGCACTGCAGGTGGTGGCTTTACCAGCTAGGCCACAGCACTGGCCCCCAAGCTTCTTAACCATATAACCACAAGGTCGATTAAAACACTGACAACACTAAATTCAGTCTTAAGGAATCGAAGTCCAGATCCATTAAGTAGTTTAGGAAGTGATCTCAATGAGTGGCTTAACCCTGTAGTTCAGTAAGCACTTAGCAAATATTCTGGAAATCACTAAAATGAACACAGTAGTCTTAACTGAAAAAGCTCCTTTGAAGGACAGGCATCTTATCACTGAGAAAAAGGTTGAGGGCTACCAGTCCAAGAGGTGCACTTATCTAAACTTACCCAGACGTTTTCTGGGGCTCAGAGGCAGAATTTTTGTGCAAGGAGAAGAGGGCAGAGTGTGCGCATTTGCTGGTTCTACTTTGACGTCACCAGGGTTTTTACTTTTGTCTACTGTCCGAGAAAACTTCTTCTTTGGAAAACTGATTTTAGCCTGTGCCTGGGATCGGGTTTGAGGCATGATGGCAATACTGCTAGAGACAAAAAAATGAACACGTCAGCCAGTGAACATGTGAAAAAAAAGGAAAAATACCTAACCCTGAGTTCGCTTATACCGATGATCAGCACTCATTTCAGAAGCAAACAATGTTATGAAAACGTTCAGTTCTGCTCCACATCCCAGCCTGTGTGGTAACAGCTACCCTGTGTTGTGTAACACGTTGTCATGCATTCCTTACGTACTAACTCGCTCGCCGAGGGGTAGGCCCTATTATCATCCTCATCCAGCAGATAAGAAATGAGGTGCACAGAAGCCCAAGTGGCCGAAAAGTCCGACACGCACGGAACCCCGGGATTCCGGCCCCGGTGGCCCACAGCCGCCGCCGCCGCCGCACGGTCTCCGGAGCCCTCGCACCGCCGCTCGTCCGTCCGCCTTCAGCCCCCTCTCACCCTGCTCTCAGCCGCAGCCGGGAACTTTTCCTGTCCGCAGCTTCAGCTCCCTCACACCACGCACAACTGCTAGAGCCACTTCGAGGGTGCACCGCCCCGCCCCGGCCCCGACTTCGGATCTCCCGCGATCTCCCTTCCCTTCCCCTCACTGTTTCTCGGGTCTCGCGGAAACCTCAACCTTCGCGCAGCTCCCCAGACCTCAGTCTCCCGAGCAATCTTCTCCTCTCTCAGGGCTGCGTCACCTCAGTGCAGGTTCCTCACGTCCCTCACACACCGCCTCAGACTCCACCACCGTTCCCGGCCAAACCGAACACCAGCAGGCAGCAAAATACAGACGCGCTCGCGCCAAATTCGCTCTGCTACACCGTTCCCGTCTCCCGCCAAAGCCCGGCTACGCCTTTGATTGGCTGCAGCCACAGCGCCGCGCGCATTGGCCTCCGCCTCTTCCTTCGTTATCCAAGCCAATCAGAAACATCACAGCCAATAAGAGCGCCCCAGGTCTCAGGCCGAGAGGCCACGCCCACTAAGAGGGCCCGGCACGTACATCCGGGGCTTCCGCGGAAACCGCGCAGTTGCGGTGGGACGCTAGGCGTTGGGCGGGACCACCACGCCGCAAAGCCCGCCGGGAGGAGTAGTCTTTGCTTGGGGCACTGTACTTCCGCGCTGTGCGCACGGGAGGAGTCAATGTGGTTGTCCCTGCTCACCTACGCCTTCCATTTTGGGGGTGGTTCTGAGCTGAGGCATGACTCCTCTCTAACGCTCCACCCTACAAGGCACGAAGCAAATCCTGTGCTCTGGGTTAGAGGTCACAGCATGTTGGTAGCAGGGGCTGCCTAAGACTGGGATCTCCCGACATCTGAACGAGTGCTTTTTTGGTAAAGTTCTATGTAAAGAACATACTAGACTTCATCACTACATCTTTTGACTTCAAATGTGGTAAATGGGACTCTTTGCTTTTATTTAAAGTAAGAAAATTTGTGTTAGATTTTCTGTATTATTTAACCACCACTTAATTGTGGGGAGTAAAATTATGGCTCCTTATTCTTAAAACCTTTTATGGCTAAACACTAGGGTTTCAGGGCCAAGAAAGACAATTACAGAAGAGGCAAGCTGAGCTTTTAATGAAAAATCTAAATTAGAGCAGTAATTTGTAGGCCAGCTTTCACAGCTAATAACCCTTCTAAATCTCAAACTCCTTTAAAAGCGAGAAAACCCAACTCTAGGTGATGGTAAACATTTATCTTTATCCTTCAATATCAGATAAAATAGCTATAAAACCGGGAAATAGGAAGGCAACAATATTAAAACCATCAGTCGACTGTACTTATAGTACAGCCAATATCGAGTGCTTACGTGTATTCCAGGGACAGAGCTCAGTATGTGGATCCACCACCTCATGAATCTTCACAAGCACCCTACGAAGTTGATGTTATTTCATTTAACAAACGAGGAAACCAAAGCAGAGCGAAGAAACCATGTAGATTTGAGTAAACTTGCCTGAGAACATAAAATTAATAACTAAAATTTGAACTCTTAAGTTCTGATGGGAAATCAAATTCTTAACCACTTAATCATAAGGAGAGCATTAGACAAATGCAGGTTTCGAAGAGGAAGAGACGGAGTACATTTTGCGACGGCTTCCCGGCAGATGAAAACTATGCAAGTGAAAAGTGATTAGGCTGCCATGAATAGAAAAAGCTACCATAGAATTTTTGTCTTTTAGGCTTTTCTAAAAAAATTTTTTTTAATTTGTAAGGCAGGGTGATGAGAGAGATATCAACCTTCCACCTGCTGGTTTACTCCCCAAATGGCCCCAACAGCCAGGCTGGACCAGGCTGAAGCCAGGAGCCTGGAATTTCATCTTGGTCTCCCACATGGGTGGCAGGGATCCATGTACATGGGTCACCTTCCACTGCTTTTGTAGGCAGGAAGCTGGATCAGAAGTGGAGCAGCTGAAACTCCAACTGTGCCCCTATGGGATGCAGTGTTGTAGATAGTAGCTGAAGGCATTGTACCACTAAGCCAGGCCCTTAACCCTTAAGGTTTTTTTTTTTTTCTTAATAGGACAATAGAACCCAGGAAGTAGTTTTCACTTTTCTAAGCTGGGACCCTAAAAACTGTCCTTGATAACCTGAAACAGTAATGTATGCCCAACCCATGTTAAGGGTTGGTGGCAGTGAACAGCCTACCTCATTATGGGGGTGGGAGGAGCACAGGAATTTAAAACTTACCACACATATTTGAACCTATGAAAATGCCAGGGACTACAGCACTGGCCCAAACCCTGCAAGAGTAAATGACCACTGACAGAGCACAGAACCACAGAAAGGTCTGAGCAGTTATCCACTGGAAGCTTTCTTTCCACAACTGACCCTCCAATGACATGATGTGCACATCATCATGCTGTTACTTCTGTGCTTTTTGATGTTTCCTGCCTAGGATGTCACCATCCTTCTTTGGTTAACTCCCAATAAAAGCCTTTTAATCCACCATATGTTTCTCCTTGTAGCGATCCTGAAATCTATTCAACCATGAGCTTCTTGGAGGCAAAGATCATGTCTTACTCTTCAAATTGTAGGTACCTGGTACAGTGTAAAGTATACAATAAACATATATGCCATCCTTTGAATCTCACATCCCTACATCTAGAAGTGGAAATGAGTTCTGTGTAAAATGTTTCAGACTGAGGCAAGGTCTGGGGTAGTTGGGATCCTGAAGTTGACATTTTAGTCCCTTCCCTTTTTAAAGATTTATTTATTTTATTTGAAAGAAAGCAAGACACAGAGAGAAATATCTTCCATCCACTGGTTCACTCCCCAAATGGCTGCAACAGCTGAGGCTAGGCCACGAACTCCATTTGATCTCCCATGTAGGTGGCAGGAACCTAAGTACTTGGGTCATCATTAGCTGCCTCCCAGGTGCCTTGGCAGGAAGGTCCACTGGAAGCAGAGTGGCCGGGACTCACAACGAGGCACCTCAATACAGGATGGAGGCATCCCAAGTGGCAGCTTAACCTGCTACATCACAACACCCGCCCCTACATTTCAGTTCGTTAGCCTCTGTCTGCAGAGTATGATGATGTCAAAGACATGCAACTTCCTCCCAGTGAGTCAGAGTTCATGGCTGGAATGGGTGTGAAATACTTAAGAGGCACATTCACGGAAAGCAGTTGTGCTTCAGTAGTAATTAGAGTGAGCAAACTAGTGTCCTTATTGCCTTCTACCTCATACACTACAGTATCACAGAGGAAGAATCAAATCACACTGGAAGAACCTGTCTAGCCTCCTTTAGCTTGAGCAATACCATCCCAAAAAGACAGAAGGCTCACAGGGCTACGAAGCTCAAAGCCATTTAGCCATGCTCCTTTTGCAAGCTATTTAAAGTCAGGATGAACAATTAAATCAATAAATAGTTTATTAATCATATTAATAACAATGGTGGGTCAAAAAATGAAGAATTCAGCCAATCTGGTAAGCACGGATGAAAATAAAAGGAGCCCTTTTTTTTAACCCTCCCTCACCCTCCTAGGTTTTTATATCTAAATTATGTGAATGATTCATACACACACCCATTATGAATCAGTATGGGAAATAATTTCAAGACCTTTGCTAGTTATGAAAGTACAAGTTAAGCTCATTAAGCCTTAGTGGTTATTACATCAGCTGGCTACGGTAAGCAGAGAATGGTTGAATTTTTACACGTAAAGTCAAAGTTCATGAAAACCAGCTAAGATGCCAGCTTAAAAAAGTTAAAAAAAAAAAAAAAAAAAAAAACCTGGCCAACACCCATATGAAAACAGATACACATGAGTCTGTGTGCCCTGCCCCTACCTTTTCTTCCTCTCCTCAATTTGAGAACTTGCCATGCAACACAGGTGGAAAGGATCATAAGGAATATAAGGAAAAGGACACAAGGCCATGAGGCCTCCTGGATTCCCTAAAATCACAAAAGGGAGTGAGGTGGAAAGTACAGAATAATGACTGTCAGAGTCTCCTGGTCAGCATGGCTAACTCAACTGTGATATTTTCAGAATAGCAGAAGGGAAGGAAAAAACCTGGGGAAGCTGCAGCTACTGCCTCTGACCAGGTCAATGCATCTACTACCTCAGAGGCCCTGGACTCAAGCCACTGCACTCACTGAGAACATGAGCAACAGATCTTTCCCTCTGTCTATGAGCACCACTGGAAGCAGTATTCCAGACAAGAGGACACAGTTTTCACGTCTATTTTTGTTTTTGTGGTTTAATTAAACTGCACGGCATTCAGAGAAAGAAATGTACCAAGGACTCCAACCTGAAACCAGATTACATTGGGGAAGGGGTGTAGTATCAATGCCATTTGGGAAGAACACTGTAATCAAAATATAACTCCAAAATAAATCATACAATAAATTATCTTTTAAAGGAAATTGATTCACATGCAGACGGATGGACACACACACGCACACACACACACCTGCCCGCACATCATGCTAGTCTTTTATTCAGTGTTGACTGTGACTTAACATGCTGGTCACTGGGAAAGGATAAAGGTTAGACATGAGAAAAGAAGGTGAGGCCCCTGTGCTGCCGGTGGAATGAGGTTTGAGACAATTAGAAAAGGACCCCACTAGGTTATCAAAAACAAGAGTAGAAAGATGAAAACAGCAGTTATCAAGGAAGATTTTAATTACTTCAAAGAGGGAGAGGAAGAAAGCACAAAAATCTAACACAAGTAAAGGCACAATGAACGTGGAGTTGAATGGAATCAAACCCTTCCTTCAGTTAAACAATTTTTTTTTTCCTTTTGGTGTGTGGTTTTGAAGGTGGTTGTAGTTTGATTTCATTGAATCTTGAAGGCAGAGTTGTAATGGCCCTCCTTTCTCCCTTCCCACCTCTAAATCAGGCTGGCTTCATAGAGGGCCACCTCAACCACACGGGCAGACACCGAGATTCAACAGGGAAAGGAAGACTGCAACTGGAATGTGGAGAATCTGATTTGCAGTTGATGCAGGTCAGGTAAGCAGAAGGACAAGCAGCTCAATGTAGTGCCATTAAAGGGCATCAGATGCCCCACACGCCACCCCTAGAGCTTTGCAGAGGGAAGGACCCTGGAGTCACGCTTCTCCCCCACTCCCATAAGCACTCGGCCTACAGATTATTTCAAGTGATCAGGAGAATTAAAACACACCCCAACCCTGAGTTGCTCTGTAGTAAGTCTATTTACAATTTTTCCTCGCCCCTCCCCGGGAGGTAAATCTGGGTTTCAAGTGGGAAAGCTGCAGGGTTAGGGGATTCCCCCAGTGCGAAGGCCAGTGACTAGTCTCCTTGCCTTTGCCAGTTAGGAGGGCTGGGATGAATTCCTGGAGACAGCAGCCTCATTGGCAGGGTAGCTCCAGGCTCTTTCTTTGCTGGTCTAGGCTGTGGAAATAATGGGCGCAGTACAGCCGAAGCAAATCCCCACCACAGAGCAAACCACACCTGGAATATCAAAGTGCTTTGGTCCAGGTTTGGTGACCAGAGAAGAGGGGGAAGAAGGGTACCTACCTTATTTAAAACCTGGAGGCCACTGCCCTGTTTCCCAGACAAGGCAGTAAGAAACAACTACTGAGTTTTTTCCACTAGGGAAAAACATTATAAAATCAAACCCACACAGGGGCTGTTAATACAGCTTCCTAATGCTTCAGTGGGCAATGTCTCTTCCTTCTGAGAGGGGACAGGGAGTTAACAGGACTGGGGAACAGCCTCAACATGAGACCACCCAACCTTCCACTGAAGAGACAACATTCCCACAAGCAGATAAAGAGAGCAGTTTAAAAGGTGAGAAGTTTTAGTGCTCTTGTAGACAGCCCACCTTAAACCTGTATTACAAGCTTCTTTTTACAACATACAAAATAAACCAGTAACTATGAGGATCACATTCCCATCTTCAATAGTAAATATACATGATAATACATCTATTATTAACAGTGGACCAAATAATGTATAAGGCAAAGACATTTAAACAGATGCTGTCATCAAACATGCTCTGAAACAGAAAACCCATGGACAGGATCTAGACATAGGCCTTTTCTCATGAGGCCTAGAGTGAAATACAATCAACACCCAGGTGACAGTCCAACTGCTGGGAGTGTGAGGGGCAGCAGGTCATGGGGAGGAAGGTAGCAGCCCCAAAGAACAGCTGGGGTTTGGCCTTACTTGTGATACTTATTTTGACGCTCCATGTTTGAAATAAAGAAAAAGACACTTTGATAACATTGTACAAAAGGCATCAACTCCCATTTCAAAAATAAATGGGAAGACTTCACAGTCAAAGTTCAGTAACGTGTCAGCATGTACCCTGGAACTCTGCTGAGCGTCAGCCCTGGAACTCTCTACTTTTCCCTCCACCAGCATCCCCCCTCTCAGCTCTATTCACTTCAGGAATGCTGGGGATACTTCTGAGAGGTAACTGCTAATGGATATGAAAAGAACGATTAGAAAATGTTTGGTGACAGACCTAATCATTGTTGGTGCCAGAATCAATGTGGTCCAAGGGATGGCTAAGGATAGCAGACCCCACACAAATAAACCAAGTTGGGCCCCTCACTAGTACTAGGAAAACTTGGGTTTCACCTGAGACAATCCTTAGCCTGTGATCCAACAGATCAGAAAGGTCCCCAAGGCAATTTATGCCTATGATGTGTCTGGTGAAATTTTAAACTAATTTTCCCCATCCTTTTTAAATAGCCATGGTCTGCTGGCTCTCATGGCAAGCTCTGAGCAGCCTCTGCAGGTGGCATCTTATGTGTGCAGTCCAGGAACCCCAGCCTGCTGTTGCAGAAAACAAAGTCCCTGTCTCACTGTCCAACCTCAGTTAGAACCTCCACTTTCTCTGTGCTTTTTAATAAAGCAGCACCTGGAAGACAAAAAAGAAAAAAGACATACTGCTGGCTGCCAAGGAAGACCTACTGAACTGAGGCACACCTCACTGATGTGTTTCTTGGCATAGAGGAATCTTTGAATATCCCTGTAAGCTTCTACTCACTTCCTTACCCTTCTCTACCCTGCTGTGTTAACCCCTACTGCCTTGGGAAGGCAAGGGTGGTGGAGAAAGGAACAGGAAGAGCCTGCTCAGTCAGACAGGCTCTGAGTTTCAGTATGAGCAGACCATAAAATCCTCTGTAGCCCCCTCTCCCCTGTCTGTCCCTTCCATGAAGTGCTTCACTCTTACCTTTTCTGTCATCTGCAGGCAGCCTCCAGGAGCTAAAGGACTCCAAGGCCCACTGACCACTTTATGGACAGTCAGAAACAACTGAGACAAGACTCACAGTTGAGGTTAAGGCCAAGGTTCAGGCTCAGGCCTTATCTTTTGATCTCTCAACAGAGGTTTTTGGAATTTGTTAATGAATGACTTTCCCAACTAGAAGTGATTTTTTTTCTTGAGGGAATGGGTGGCAGAAGGGAGGACGAATATGCCTCAGTCTAGCACCCTGAGGAAATGGGGCAGAGAGTCTCAGAAGGCTCAAATGGCTCCTGGTCCCTTTGCTGCAGAGGAACCGACTAGCTCTAAAATGATCCTCAGTTTACTTTACCCTTTCTTTTTATTGAATGTTTAGTTTAACTGATTAGTATTTAGTCTTTATATCCAACTTATCCCTGGGCAGTGGGGAGGAAAAGTGAGAAAAAAAAACAAAATACCCCTAAAAATAAAGCAAACCCATTTCCTTGCCCATTCTCCAAACCTGACCTTTAAAACAGATCACTTCTCTGAAAACTCCTTTCCTGTTTCACTAATAATGTCCCTCTTCCCCAGAAGTCCTTGCCATGCCAGCCTCCTAAATGATGAAATATTGTACACCTGCGAAGCTCCCCCACAGTTGGGAGGAGGAGGTAGGGCTATCATTCCTCACCCTGCCCCAACAAGTTAACTTATCATAGCAAGGCACCTTTCCCCAGGAGGAGAGCAGGAGACACAGAAACTTCTTCCTCATTTGGCTAGCAAGGCTTACTAGAGGACGGATGCAGGGTTTGAGACCCTACTGCAATACAAAGAGTCCGATCGCCAAATCCAGAGACGAGATGCATAGATGGAGGTGAGCTGGGAGGACGCTTCGAGTCTAGGGGTTGGTTGCACTGGAGAAACAAGTTAGGAGCTCTCATGCAGGATTCAGGGGAATGGAAGGGACCATCTGAGAAGTAGAGAGGGTCCATCCTTTTCCTGAGAACAGGAGCAAGCCAGGCTTCACCTGAGAATGGGTGGCAGAGGTGGGGCTCCACGGGCAGCTAAAAAAAAAAAAAAAAGAAACAAAATAAAAACCACACACATACAGATTACCCACCAGACACTGAAAAATCCCAAAATTCCTGAAATGAGAAGCTCTTGAAGCTCAGCTTTAAAACCTAGGCACATGGGGCCAGTGCTGTGCCATATGGGTGCCAAGTCCCACCTGCTCTACTTCTGATCCAATTCCCTGATAACATGTTTGGGAAAGCAGAAGATGGCCCAAGTCTTTGGGCCCCTGCACCCACATGGGAGATGCAGATGGAGCTCCTGGCTTTGGTATGGCCCAGCACCAGCCAATGCAGCCATTTGGGGAATAGCATAAGGATAAAGCCATGCCTGCAGTGCCAGAATCCCATATGGGCACCAGTTTGAGTCCCGGTTGCTCCACTTCCAGTCCAACTCTTTAAAGCACCTGGGGAAACAGCTGAGAATGGCCCAGGTCTTGGACCCCTGCACCCATGTGGGAGACTTGGAAGAAGCTCCTGACTCGTAGTTTCACCCTGGCCCAGCCCTTGTGGCCATTTAGGAGTGAACCAGTGGATGGAAGACCTCTGTCTTCCCTCATCTATCTGCAACTCAGCCTTTCAAATAAATAAATCTTAAAAAAAAAAATCAGAAAAAGGTTTTTTGTTTGTTTGTTTGTTTTTAAAAAAGAAAATGAAGGGGTAGGCATTTGGTGAGGTAGTTAAGATACCACTTTGGGGGACAGGTGTTGTGGCAAGGGTTAAGCCTGTGACACTTCTGATCCAGCTCTCTGCTAATGTAGGGACTGGAAGGCAGAGGAAGATGGTCAAAGTACATAGGTCCCTGCCACCCATGTGAGAGACCCAGATGGAGTTCCAGGCTCTTGGCTTCAGCCTGGCCCAGTCACAGCTGTTGTGGCCATTTTGGAAGTAAACCAGCAGATGGAAGGTCTGTCTCTCCCCATCTTTCCATAATTCTGCCTTTCAAAAAATAAAATACCTGGGGTGCAACAGGTTAAGCCACTCTTTGGGATTACGGCAACCCATAGTGGAGCGTCAATTTGAGTCCCAGACACTTCGATATATATTTCCAATATAGCTCACTGCTAATGCACCTGGAAGCAGTAGATGATGACTCAAGTACTTGAGTCTCTATGCAGACTCTCTACACAGATTTGCCTATGTGAGAAACACAGCTGGAGTTCCCAGTTCCTGGCTTCAGCCTGGCCCAGTCTTGGCTACTGCAGACATTTGGGAAATGAACCAGCAGACAGAAGATCTCTCTGTGGCCTCTTCCTCTCAGTGACTCTGCCTTTCAAATAAATAAATAAATAAACAAATCTTAAGGGGGGCGGGCAGGGTTACAGTGCAGTGTGTTAAGCCATTACTTGCAACATCCATATCCCATATACAAGTGCCAGATCAAGTCACAGCTACTTTGCACTTCTGATCAAGGTTCCTGCTAACATGCCTGGGAGGCAACAGATGATGACCCAAGTACTTGGGCCACTGCCATCTACATGAGACACAAGGAAAGAGTTCCTAGCTCCTAGCTTCAACCTAGCCCAGTCATGGCTGTTGCGGGCATTTGGGGAATGAAACAGCAGAAGGAAGATTTTTCTCTCTCTTGCAAATAAATAAATAAATCTAACAAAAAGATACACCACTTGGGACACTTGCATCCCAGCTCTAACCTCCTGCTAATGTAAACCCTGGGAAGCAGCAGGTGATGGCCAAGAAACTGGGCCCCTGACATCCAAATGGGAGACCTAAACTGAGTTCTAAGATCCTAACTTCAGCCTGGTCCAGCCCCAGCTGTTGTGGGCATTTGGGAAGCAAACCTGCAGAAGGAAGAACACTCTCCTTCTCATTGGCTTTCAAATAAATAAAGTGAATTTGTATTAAACTTTCTTTACTCTTCTCACCTCGATTTGTTTTGCTGGGGTATATTCTCTGAAAGTGTTTATATTCTTCTGGAGCAGGAAAATCCTCTACTGGATGGAAGGAATACTTTGATTCAAAATCATCTGGGAAAAGAACAAAAAATATTGATTCCTATCACTCTTCCTTGTGTTTCCACAGACCTCTGACCACTACAATTGTCCTCCTATACCAATGTGAGTGTATGAGTACATTCTGATGTGCGTGAGGCTGGCCTTGCCCAACACATTAAGATTCCCAAGAACAGCTCAAAGGGTCTTTATATTAAGGAGTTTTTGAGCTGATTCTTTAACTGTCATCATGGGAAATTAATTCAATTGAAATTGGTAGAGAATTAACCTAAAGTGAGAATACTTGTCTGCAGCTGGTTGAGAGATCTGAGTGTTCCCTTTCAGCCTAGGTGACCTCATTGAGCTGTGCGGCACAGCTCAGCTAGCCACCTCACGGTCCCCACTCCCACTTTCTAGGGTCCCTCTACAAGAAGGCTCAAATTTTCTCTAGTGTGTGGGTTGATCACATTCCTAACATTTCTACAAAAAGAACATATATTCACAGAAAAACCCTGGTCCAACTTATAGGAACAGACTGAAATGTGAAGGAGTGCCCCATTGAAGGATCTGGAGTGCTATGGCTGCAAGGGCCCTTACAAATCTATTCTGGCAGTCCTCAGCAGAGGCAATACCAACACCCTTCTTTTCCTGGGGCTTCATCCCAGCCTAATAAATTAGCAGAAACTCTCAGGCAAGGGTCTTAATATTTATAGCCTTGGAAAAATTCATCTGATATACTCAAAACCATAAATAATGATCCTTGGAGGGCATGAGACTGGCTTTAGAGTTAACATAGCACCTAATGATTACACCTCAATCTATTCCAAAGCAACCATGCCTGGAATTCACACAAGGAAAGGCATGCCAATGGACGGAGCACAGAAGTCTAGGGGTAATGTCAGGAGAAGGACTGCTGTGAACCAAGAGATACCAATGGCCAATCCCAGCCTGCACTAGCCATGTGGTGGCAGCCAAGGCACTGGAGTTAGCAAACTCCCCAGAGGAACTATAAAACCAAACCAGCTAGCTACTTACCCAAGAAAGACCGGACAGTGGTGATGGAATCTCTGTGGCCATTCCTTAGAGGTGGTGGAGGAGGGGGTGGCCCAGCTGGTGTCCTTGAAGGCGGAGGTGGGGGCTTTCCTCGGCTCAGGGGCTCTGACCCATGCATTCGGTATGGTGGGGGGGGAGGCGGAGCATCCCTGGCACCATTTCGGATCATGGGTGGTGGGGGTGGAGGAGCTGCAAGTAAAATCCTAAGTAGTTAGGCCTGGAAATGGAGACAGCAAGGAGTACAGGGCTTTGACAGACATTAGGTAGCAGTGCGCCCTGGTCTGAGTCTTGGGGAGGCAGGTTAAAATATCACATTCACCTTCCCCTCATCTTCAGTCTGGAACAGCATTATTATTCTTCCAGACACCAAGGCTCAGAATAAACGTATGACTTTGTGTGTATGTTTGTGTGTGTGTGTGCGCAAGCAAAGCAAGATTTATTTAAGTCAGAAACCACCTACCACTGCAACAGGAGGGGGGCTCCAAGAGAGACCCCCAAATGTATGACCTTTTCTCATTCCCCTCAAGTCAGTTAACAACCCTATCTATTCTTGATTTTCTTTCCTCCTGCTCCCATGTCTTCCTCTACAATCCCTTCTAGATTTTTCTCATATTTAGCTATTCTATTTCCAAATGTTCTCCTTGCTTCTAATGTCTTACCACTCCACTTCATTTTGCATGCCACCTTACGCATCTCCTTAAATACTTGTTGAAAATTTTTCAAGGGCTATTTCCTATACCATAAAGTCTCATATCTTCTGCTTACATGATAAACAACTGTATCAGTTCACCTGACCTTGGTGTCTCCTCTTCCTTAATTCCTAGGCTGTGTTCTGTATTTCTACCACAGTCTGTATATACCCCTACCATTCTGTAGTATCAACATTAACTGTTTTATGTTGTTTTTTAAGATTTATTTATTTTTTGAGAGGCAGAGTTACAGAGAGGGAGAAACAGAAAGAAAGGTATTCCATCTGTTGGTTAACTCCTCAATTGGCCACAAAAAATGGCCAGAGCTGTACTAATCTGAAGCCAGGAGTTTCTTCCAGATCTCCCATGAGGGTGCAGGGGCCCAAGCACTTGGACCGTCTTCCACTGCTTTCCCAGGCCATAGCAGAGTTGGATCAGAAGTAGAACAGCTGGGACTCAAACCAGAGCCCATATGAGATGCCAGCACCGCAGGCAGAGGCTTAGCCCACTACGCCACAGTGCCGGCCCCTATTTTATGTTCTTATTTTCCAAGATACTACGTATTCCTGTCAGATCAAGCATTCCATGTCAGATCAAGCAGCTCACTAATCTGGATTCTCCAGATCAGCCAAATGTGCTGCACATAGTAGGTGCTCAGTAAATGCTGAATAAACCAAATTATATATTCTCTCTTGTGACTCCCCCACAGCACTCTGGAATACTTTTTTTTTTTTTTTTTTTTACTAGCAAATCCTACCTATCCTACAAGGCTTAATTCAAGTCCCATCTTCTCAAGGTTCTTCCAAAGCATTCCACTCTATTCTGAGCCCCAGTCCTGCTCCTTTGTTCTCCCACAACATCTATAGGCCATGTCACTTATTTTAGCACTCAACAGAATAGATTAAATGAGTTTCTTTAAAATATGTAGGGGCCGGTGCTGTGGTGTAGCAGGTAAAGCCTGCAGTGCCGGCATTCCATATGGGCGCCAGTTCAAGTCCCAGCTGCTCCACTTCCAATCCAGCTCTCTGCTATGGCCTGGGAAAGCAGTGGAAGATGGCCCAACTCCTTGGGCCCCTGCACCCATGTGAGAGATCTGGAAGAAGCTCCTGGCTTCGGATAGGCGCAGCTCCAGCCGTTGCGGCCAGTTGGGGAGTGAACCAGTGGATGGAAGACCTCTCTGACTTTCCTTCTCTGTGTAACTCTTTCAAATAAATAAATCTTTAAAAAATATAAAATATGTATAATTATGTTCATCTTGAGAAGTTACTTATCTCCAGTGATAATCTTATTGCTCCAAAAAACTGTGAACAACTCTTTCAGATTGTTTCTAAAGCCCACTTACCACAAACAGCCACATATATCATGACACGATGACCACATTTTATTTCTGAGGTCATCTCACCACCACCAACAAAAATATTTACACATATGTCTGATTCTTTTTGCCATTTTCAAAAATCAGATTCAACCTTAAAAGACAAAAATTTGCCATCATGTAGGAGGTAATGTCAAAGCATGTTTGCAGAAACGGCTACATCACCAGATTAGGTTGCAATGTGACAGTATCTTTAAGTTGTATTACTCCTATGCTTTGAATCAATTGATATATTATAGCTACTACCATTTACTGGGTATCCAAAATGTTCCAGGCATTTTATATTTATGAAACCTTTAAAAGATCTTAAGGCCACCCCTGCAAAGCATGACAAATGACCCCTATTCCTTAAATGAGAAGACTGAGACCTGGGTAATTTGTCTAAGGTCACAGGTCTAAGACAAGCAAACTGAACACACAACTGCTCTTCCCACTACCCCACAGTTTTTTGTTTTGATTTTTTTAAAAAAGATTTATTCACTTGTTTGAAAGGCATAGTGACAAAGAGGGGGAGAAACACACAGAGAGAAATGGCTTATCAGAGGGTTCACTCTTCAAATGGCTGCAACAGCTGGGACTGGACTAGGCTAAAGCTAAGAGAATGAACTCCATCAGGGTCTCCCAAATGGATGGCAGGAGCCCATGCACCTTGGCCATCATCTGCTGCTGGCAGCTGGATCAGAAGCAGGCCAGGACTAGAACTGCCATTCTAGCATGGTATACTCCTGTTGCAGGTGGTGGTTTAACCCACTGTGCCACGAAGTCAGCCCTCCCAACTACCGCACAATTTTTCTTAACTACCCCAAGTATTATGCATCTTATCTCCCCAACTAGATTTGCAATCCAGCAAGTTAGAAGTGTGTCTTTTGGTAACTAGGCCATGTTTAGTATTCTAATATACACAAGTATCAATCCTCCTGAATTGCTGTCAGAACTTCTGCAGTAACCATAGTAATGAGATGATGTTTAAGCACACAAATGTGGCCTACACATCAGACCAAATAAATTTTAGTTTTTGCTTCCCCTAAGACACACTCAGAATTGTCAACTCTCCTTCTTTTCAGGTATCTTTAAGTATGGCCAGGAGCAACAACCAAAGAGAAATCGCAATACCTCTCAGATCTCTAAGCTGTTTTTCATTCCAAGCCTACCCAACCATGGCTCTCTGAGGTCACTGTGAAAGTATTCCCTAGAACTCAGCTTCTCAAGGCTCTCAGTAGATTCTATATCCTAGGCCAGGGCCAGGACCAGGCAGTCAAGACAGACAGTGTTAGGTAGGCTCACAAGGATACTACACAGCAAGACACTGGGCAGGTGACAGGGAAGACAGCCAATCTGGACGGGCCAAACAGCAGAACTGGAGGAACCTGTGTGCCTCCTCCAGCTCCTTCCCTCAGGGAGGGTCATCCTCACCAGGCTTTATTATCTCCAGTAATCTTCTCAATTCTGTCACATCCACTTTTTTTTTCTTTTTCTTTTTTCTTTTTCTTTTTTTGACAGGCAGTTAAGACAGTGAGAGAAAGAGAGAGACAGAGAGAAAAGTCTTTCTTTTCTGTTGGTTCACCCCCCAGATGGCTGCCACGGCTGGCGCACTGCACCAATCCAAAGCCAGGAGCCAGGTGCTTCCTCCTGGTCTCCCAAGCGGGTGCAGGGCCCAAGTACTTGGGCCATCCTCCACTGCCTTCTCGGGCCACAGCAGAGAGCTGGACTGGAAGAGGAGCAGCCGGAACAGAATCCAGCACCCCAACGGGGACTAGAACCCAGTGTGCCGGCTCCGCAGGCGGAGGATTAGCCCAGTGAGCCGCAGCACCAGCTGTCACATCCCCTTTTAAGATGGTTTCAAGAAACACAGAACCCAAGCATGCTAAAAAACAACCAGTTTGCAAAAGAAGCCCTGGGAGTGCCTTTTGGAATACAAGATAACCACAATTTTTAGGAAAAATGATGGTATCAATTCCTTAAATAAATCTTTAAAAATCCCTTTAAAATGGGCAGTTTTTTATTCTTTAAAGAAAATATTCAGGAAACAAACTCTACGGACCAGTCATGCTGGTTTTGAAGTCTCTGAGCACTCTAGGAAGGCAAAAAGACTTTCAAATACAAATAATTCATACAGAAACAAAAGTAACTTATCATATGTTACCCAATGATTTAATTAGACAGACGTAAGTACACGAAGTATTTTTTTTTTTTTTTTTTTTTGACAGGCAGAGTGGACAGAGAGAGAGAGAGAGAGAGAGAGAAAGGTCTTCCTTTTGCCTTTGGTTCACCCTCCAATGGCCGCCGCGGCTGGCGCGCTGCGGCCGGCGCACCGCGCTGATCCGATGGCAGGAGCCAGGAGCCAGGTGCTTTTCCTGGTCTCCCATGGGGTGCAGGGCCCAAGCACCTGGGCCATCCTCCACTGCACTCCCTGGCCACAGCAGAGAGCTGGCCTGGAAGAGGGGCAACCGGGACAGAATCCGGCGCCCCGACCGGGACTAGAACCCGGTGTGCCGGCGCCGCTAGGCGGAGGATTAGCCAAGTGAGCCGCGGCGCCGGCCTACGAAGTATTTTTTGTAACTAAGATTATTAACTCAGATTATTATAACTCAGATTATTAGACTGCCCAGTGTCACACAACAAATAGAGCCAATACTCAAAGACTGCTGACTAAAATACCTCATTTTTTTCCCCAATGAGTCACCCCTAAGAGCTGCTGCTCTAGTTACCAATAATGGAAACAAAGTCAAGACCTCAGCTTTACCTCAAAGTTGATGATACTAGGAGAACAAGCCTCCTGGGCCGGCGCCGTGGCTCAATAGGCTAATCCTCCACCTTGCGGCGCCGGCACACCGGGTTCTAGTCCCGGTCGGGGCGCCGGATTCTGTCCCGGTTGCCCCTCTTCCAGGCCAGCTCTCTGCTATGGCCAGGGAGTGCAGTGGAGGATGGCCCAGGTGCTTGGGCCCTGCACCCCATGGGAGACCAGGAAAAGCACCTGGCTCCTGGCTCCTGCCATCGGATCAGCGCGGTGCGCCGGCTGCAGCGGCGGCCATTGGAGGGTGATCCAACGGCAAAGGAAGACCTTTCTCTCTCTGTCTCTCTCTCTCTCACTGTCCACTCTGCCTGTCAAAAAAAAAAAGAAAAAA